TAGGGGTGCTGGCAGACTAGAAAAGAGGCCCCAGGTGACTGCAGGACGCCCCTGGAGACAGTCAAATCCCATTTGGAGAAAGCCCTCAGTGATCTGGTGTAGTCAGCCCTGCTTTGAGTGGGGTTTGAGCAGAGACCCCAAGGGTCACTTGCGCCATAAATTATCCCATGATCCCATCTACATCCATGTTCACAAACACTTGTGTGCAGGCACACACCCCAAATGACCCCGCGGAGGTGGGAATGTGGAGCCTCACTCAGGAGGGTGGTGCCTTTGCAAAGAGCAAGGTCTGTGTGGGCACAGGTAAGTGAGACCACCAGGGAAGACCCAGCTCTGGGAGGCAAAAGTCAAAGCTTTGTGCTGCAAGGAGATGCCAGGGCCTGGCTGTGCAAAGGGCAGCAGCTTCTCTGGAGAAAGGAAGAGCCCTGGTGCACAGGACAGGCTGCATGTGTCCACTTGGTCAGCATGTGGGAACGGGTGCTGATCTTTGATTTCACTGCTCTTCCAATTCCACAGGGAACAGGAGGCAGTGTCTGCCTTGGCAGCTTGATTTTCAATGTAGGCACTTCACTGGGCAGCTGCTTTGCCTCACTGAGAGTTCTCAGTCCCTCAAGTCAAACCCTCAAGAGCACAAGTATTTTCAATTCCCCCTGCACTGAACAGGCACTTCTGCTGCTTCTTGCCCAGGGGCTGCTTTAGCCCAGCACCTTCATGTCCTGGTGCTGCCATTTCCATGAGATAGCCTTGGCATGCTCTCTGTATCCCTAACTGATAATGCTGCATGGCTCTCAACAACTTGCTGGTATTGTCTATCAAACCTGCAGGATGGACATGGGAAGAACTTCTCCACCTTGCCCTGTTCAAGGGTTCAAGCTGCAAAGATTAATGAGTGGGGCCCAGCTTCAAACCTCAGGCAAACATTTAGACCACCTGAAACTTTCAGAAATACTGGTCCAGGCTGGTGCACAAACGAGAGGGGAGGGAAGAATGAGATGCATTGCCCTCTCCACCAAAGTCCCTCCAGTCACCTGTGCTCCCTCCTGCCACCACGGGCTGTGGATCCTGACAGATGGCCCAGGTGAGCCCTTGCTCCTGGCAGCACAGGACACAGCCTACCCACAGGGATCCCTCTGCTCCAGCTCTGCTGGTCTCTGCACGATGCTGGTGCCCAACCACCTGAATTAGTGCTGCAGCATCTCAACCCCTGGTGCATTCCCAGAGTCTCTGTCTGCTCTCATGCTGCTGCTCTCTGTAATTTTCCATTCCTGTGTCCCTGCATCCATGAGTTCTCCCTATGATGTAGCCACATTTCAGTACCCTCATCACTGCTCTTAAACTGCCCGTATTCCCAGCTTGGATCAATACCAATTTCTGCCACTTACTTGCCTACCTTTCAGCAGGCCTTTCTTTGTTCTGCATAGAAATAAAACTGTAACTGTACCTTGCCAAAAGAATTACTTTTTTAAACCTCCCCCCCTCCACTTCCTCCCTCTATTCTTCTTCCTCTTCTTCTTCAGGAGCAATTTTATGTAATTTGCAACTGTCTGGCTGCAAATGAAAAGAGACATAAAGCGTTTCTGCGAAATATTGAAAAGCTGGATGCTTTTCCCTCAAATTTCACTTAGCAAGAGGCTTTAACTTGCTGTGTGATCACTGTGTGTCATTAATAACCTCTCCAATTCCTTTCAGAACTCAGCAAAGTGAAGGCACAATCACGAATCAAAGGCATGGGTTATTGAGATATAATATCATTTCACTGAGGCAGGGAGGAGTGTGCCAGGGAGTGGGGAGAAGGTGAAATACTGCACTGCTGGGCTGGCTGGCAGCTGAAGAGGACACCAAATTTAGGAAATAGCCTTAAAGGCCTGATTTCAACAATTCACCAGCTCTGAGGGCAGCACAGGTGTGTTAGATAATACAATATGCAGCTGTACAGGTGAGACTGGTTGAGTCACCATCAGATGTGGCACTTAAGGACATGGGCTTGGCAGTGCTGGGTTAATGGTTGGATTCAGTGATCTCAGAGGTCCCTCCCAACCTGATGATTCTATGACAGTCTTGTTACTTTATACCCTGAGCACACTGGTCCACATAAAAGAATGTAAAAGCCAAAATTCTGCTTACCTCAGAAAAAGATGCTGAACCTTGCTGTTAAAAAATAAGCTTTTCAGAGTTTAAATTCCATTCAGCATACATCCAACAGTACTGAATTCAGAGGCAAAAGAGAATTTTGACCTCATATAAAGAGAACTTGCCCCAAATGCCACAAGAATAAATACAGACAACAGTGATGCCTACTGACTTATGTAGAAAACCTAAACTACAAATATAACTGTATATAAAAGCCAAGATAAGCTCCACTGCACTCATGGCCCTGCAGGTGGGCTGACATTGCTGGCATCAGAGCTGGAGGACCTCAGCAACATCTCTGTGGGCCCAGACCTACCCAGTGACAGCCTGGAAGAGAAGCCAGAAGTCCTGCTCCAGCTGCCTGATCACAGCCTGAGTATCTCAGAAACAATATCAAAGCACTTCCATAACTCTGTCCTTACCAAATCCTCAGTCTAGAACAAAAAAGTCATTTGTCTCTATTCAGGTTCATGAACTGTTGAGTTCTACCACAGCTCTCTGCATTGAGACCAACAAAGGAAGGTACTTTGGTTCTTGTGGCATCTGCAATTGCTTGGTGGTACAACAGCAAGTGTAGGATCAGCACAAGATCCTCCTCTGCCAGTTTGATCCCTTGCTGTCTGTAAACCTGCTGAGCCTTGGTTATGCACTCAGGTGACAATTTGTGTCACCCTACACTTCATAACCCTTCATCCTTCTTTCTTCTCCTGCTACGTGCAATACAGAGAAAGGATATGGGTAAAATGCACAAGAAATCAGTTGTTTACCAGACTGTGGCCCACTGACTGAAATCTCAGTGGTGTGGTCAGTACATTCTGTGCTCTGCCCTTTGCTGGGCCCTGGCTGAACTCCTGGGGATTGGTTTTGCCCTAGAAATCATCAGGAGATGATCCAGATGTGAATATACAGAGATGAAATTTTATGTCCTTGTTCCTAAAACAGGGAAGCAACTGCCTGTCTGTGATTCACTTCCAAAGTGCTGCCCACAAGGACAGGTGATTCTACAGACACCAGCAAACCATGGCTGAAAGCCACCTCAGCTCACCCAGCCCACGTCCATGCCAAGCAACCATCTCTACATTACCAAAGAGAGAGAGAATTGTGCCTTCTTGGTCACTGAGGGACTGAACAAAAGAGAAACTAAATGTGATGAAGTGCTATATTGGCAGCCTGAAAATAGCTCCAAATGCAGCACAGCTCATCTTCATCCTAATCCTGAAACATAATTACACCACACTGCTCATTAACTGTCTCCAGACAAGTATGTTCAAAAGTACTCACCTACCACAGATTTCTTACTGTTCCCAGGCAGTGTCTTACACCTCCCTTAACATAAAAAGCCTTTAGATCACCACATCATAGATAAATTGCTGCTTTAAACACTGCTCCATGCAGCTCTCTACAACCCCTGAGAGCACAGACAGTAGAGAACACAGTGAAACATGCAACAAATCCCCGATGTAGAACTGTAGCAAAACCAGATTGCCTTGAATCCACCAAGCCTCCCATGAATCATTTTTCAGAGACACATCTGACTTCCCCACTGCATTAACAGCACTGTATCATGACTCCTCTCAGCTGCTCCTGCATCCTTTGACTTGCTCTTATAGACACTGTCAGCTCTGCCCTGGACCAACACACGAGGTTACACTGCTTTAGTTCAAAAATCCAAGCATTTCCCACCACACAAAAATATCTCAGGCAGATTTGTGCTGGTTATCTGTACTCTTTCCCCTGGCTGTCCTGAGATAAGGACCTTGTTAAGTGATAATTAAGTCACATGCATTTTCCAGCACTCAGATGCCAGCACAGGCCCATGCCAAAAGAGCACAGTAAACAAATACAGAAAAGGATGTGTGTGTGTGTGTGTGTGTGTGTGTGTGGAGGTTTTGAGGGCAGCTGGGAGAGGTGAGGGAAGCTCTTTGGACCTGTATGGGTTAAAGAAAAAATGTTATGGTTAAGAATTCCTAACCACCCTCCAGAGACCCCTGGTTTACATTAATTATTCTGTTGCCTTGAGCACTCAGGGCCTCCTGTGAGCTTCTATCTATAAGTACCCAACTCCTCCTCCTACTCACCTCCAAATGAATCCTTTCAATGTGCTTGATCAACCCCCTCAGTACAGAAAGGGAACTGCCCAGTCAAAGCTCTTAAATCATACCAAAATGGGAAGGCAACAATCCAGAAGTCCTTTCAGCTCTCCAGCAGGTCCCAGGGAGGCAGAGGAGTGCCAGGCAAGGAGGGACCTGTTCCACAGTGCCCAGCCTCCCTCAAATCCCACTGAACTCTGCTCCCAAGACCAGCTGTGGAGTGAGCAAGACCCAGGAACAGACCAGCAGTCCTTCTCTCACCTAAAAATAACTCATTTCTCTTCCAAACAACGGCATGTGGCAAGTGTATTTTTTTATTTTTGAGAGGCTGATCCAATTCAGCCACTGCATCAGAGTTCCATCCAGGCACCCTGCAGGGCAATGGCAGAGTAGAATTGGATGCACCAGGAGATTCTGCACACCTGGAGAAAGTATTTTATCTCATGTGAGTTTTTCAGCAATGCCCACTGTGCACCCACATGCTTCACCCCAAAGCCCACAGCTCCCTTGTGACAGGGACAGAAAGCTGAAGGTGTCCTGTCACACCACACAGAGCAAAGAGCAGCAAAGAAAAAGGCCTGGCCAGAGAAAAAAAAGCAGCAGCTCTGAAGAGCAGTGCTGTGCTTCCACTCCCATATCCCTGTTCTAAGCCCTGAAACACCCTTCTCTTCCACAAGCAGGAAAACTGATCTAAGCCACTTCTCACCCTCACTCCCTCCCCTGAAAATTCCCCATCATCCTGCCCACGGCATCAGCTCCAGACAATTCACTGGGACTTACCCCTGGCAAAGTCTTCTGTTCATGCAGGGCTGTCTGGGCTTTGATGGCAGAGTCTCTGGCACAGTATGTGAGGAATGCACAACCTGCAGCAGATACAGCGAGTGTCAAGTTAGACAGGCACTTGCAGATGAACATCAACACAAATGTTACATAATTTGGATGTGTCTAAAGCTCCAGGGGAAAAAAAGACAAAGAAACAATGCGAAAGGACTTGCAGGCCACATCTGAAGTCTATTAAGAGCTGGAAAAGGGTCCCAGTGAATCAATGGGGCTTGACACAGGAGTTGAACAAGGTGAGACACAATGGGAGAGCAAAAGGAAAGCAGATCTTGTCTGTGGCAGAAACACAAGGATCAGGAGAGAGGCAAGGACCAGCATGATTACTGATTAAAAGAAGAAAAGAAGCAAGGAATGAAGAGAAGTATCTGGGATTTAGGCTTTTACAAAAGCTCCATGATCTGATTCACAAATCAGGGAGCTATGGCAGGAGAGGCCTGGCCCTGTGTGATGCACACAAACACACACCAACGTACACAAGCACCACAAGGGCAATACAGAGCCCAGCAGAGCACCCTGCATTCTGCAAGGGCCAACTTAAGAAGCCAGATAAAAAGCACAGAGAAAAGGCCAGATCCTGACATTCTTAGTCAAGATATGACTCAACATCTCAGACGAACGCTGGAGCCAAGGGAGGAGGGGGAGGAGTTGTAGCCCCTCCAGGAAGAAGAGGGATCATCTTTGGGTGCTCTGATGCTAAGAATAAGCAAAGGAAAAATCTGGCTGGTTATCAAGAAACATTTCCTAGCAGAAAGAGATTTAGACTGTGGAATGATCTCCCCAGGGAAGTGCCTGGAGCTCTGTCACTTGAGTTGTTTCAGATGAGGGTAGGCAAAGCACTGGAGAATAGACTCAGAATGCATCTGACCCCCTCACTCATCCCCCTCCTATCCACACTGGCATTTCACATCCCAAGCAAAGGCAGGATGAATCCCTCTGGCTTGCTGATGAATATCCCTGTCTACACTGCTGTGCTGGGGCTGCAGATGCATTGTTATGGTCAGAGGCCCATTTTTCTGCCTCCACATTCTTGTGCCTGGCTTGGGGTACTCCAAAGCTGCTTCAGCTCTCCATGAGCTGCACCCAAAGGTGGGTGCAGGGACTGTCTGGACCTCTCCCCTCCACCCCAGTGGGACTCCGTGGAACACAACACCCTGAGGCCAGCTCCTCAGGACAATCCAAACCCCAGCAACATCATTATCCTGCTTTTCCATCCCAACCCCAAGAAGTTGCTGCAGGTAAGCACATGACATCTGTTCTCACACCTCTTGCTAGGGGAAAAAACCTTCCAGAAACAGCACACAAGCACTAGGTGTCTCTAAGAGGTCATTAAAGCTCCTTACTGCCCAGACTTTGAATGCTGTACCAAAGCCAAATGTGGGACCAATGGGTAATTTAACAAATATAGTGAGGGCAGGAAGAATGCAGGTAAACTTCCCTGCTCCTGGCAAAGGCAGCTGGCTCTGTCGTTGTGGGGAAGCTCCCCTCAGCTTTCACTCTCCCCATGGACTGCTCTGACATCAAGCCTCAAAAGCAGCTCTATAACCAGAGACCAGACTCTATAACCTCTATAATCTATTTCTAACAGATCTGAAGGCCTCGTCACCAAAGCCTCAAACACAGATACCCAATTCCACCTGCTGCTTCAATCTGCTACTTTGCAAGTCATACAAGACTCAGAATTCTAAGATAATTTGGGCCACGTTTAGCTCACAAAACTCCAAAGTCAGCACTTGGGAATAAGCAATTTATTCCACTAAAAGCTTCAATGCATTGGTACTATGCCCACGTGCAGTGAAAGCACTATCCTTGCCTCAGGAGCATCAGCCATCAACCTAACAAAACTCAGATAGGAGTGGAGTTATGTCCACATGAAACATGCAAAACCCATCCTCGAGTCCCAATTCCAGTGCTCAGGAATGGCAGAACTGAGGCAAAGCACACTCAAAAACCCAATCCAGGGGAGGACAAGCTAAAAATGAGAACTGGACAAAGACACACCATTTGTGGGGATAAAGGAGAGACATTCCTCACAAAGGCAGGTACTGTTATCATACCAGATCAGGGATTTGTAAAGGCCAGCACCACCTAGGTCCACCAGCACCCATGTGAAAAAGTGCCATGAATCCCCCCACCAGAGCCCTCTGGTCCTTCTCTTCCCTACATCAAAGGCAGTAACATTGCTCATCTTTTAGCAGCTCAGGTACCAAGAGGCAGCAGCTTCCAGAGACAGAAACATCCTGTAACTGTGGAGCCTGAAGATGCCTCACTCCAACCCGAGGGCAATCCCCACTGCTGCTCTGCTTTACAAGGATGTGGGTAATTGCTCAGCAGAAGCCACTTGTGCTCCTTCTCTTCTCTCAAGCATGAAGCAGCACTCAGGCAGACTCTAATGTCCTGCCTGGACTGGGGCTGCACGTACAGGACAGCCTGGTCCACTGCTCTTCATGTCTCTAAGCTCTGAGATTTGAGGACATTCCTCTTATTCTTACTTCCCCCATACCTGGAAGTTGTACTGGTTCTGGAAAGGAGGGAGCTAAAGATTTCAGGTATGTCTTCTGGAGGATATGATTACTGCCTTTCACAACCAGGTGTTTTGGGGGTAGAGTAGTCAATTCCATTCTCTTTGCAAAGTCCTGGTCAGAAATACAGGAAAAGGTTTGACAGAAACAATGTGCTCTAAACCTAATTGTGTAAACAAATATTTGGAGAAAATAAACTTCCTTCCTGAAGAGCCGTTATCTCTTGCACACTAACTGTGCAGCTACTCCTGGGATGCTGGGATAGGATTCTGCTCACCCTGTCTTTCATGGGCTCTTTGGGCTCCTAAAACTTTGAGCTTGACAGAGCCACCCAAGGATCTGCTCAAGAATGAAGAGATGTCCACAGAGGTGCAGAGGAGCCTGTCACTCTCACTCGGTTTTCTCACTTCCACATTTCCTGCTTTAGTTAACAGCAAGCTCAGACAGGCTCAGGCCCCTTTGGGCACTTCTCACACCAAGCCAGCTGTGCCTGCTGAGACACAGGACATGGTGTTAGAAAGTGCTCAGGGTGTTCAGAAGCATCAGCCTGGAAGGTCCCAGGCACCCAGGCAGTGCCAATGAGCCATTCCCAGCACAGGGATGCAGGACAGCACCCAGAGCACTGTCTGCAAAGCCAGGCCACCATCATTCTACCAAAGATCCCTCTATGTCCCACCAGTGTCTGTGGTACCACCCTACTTCCATGGGCTCCAGGAGGGTTTCCAGCTCCCTGAAGGCAGAACCCAGCCCAGTTTCACTTGAAAGAGACTGCATAAAAAATATATATATTCAGTGCCTGATCCTCCCTACAAACTACACATTGACTCTGGAATTTACAGTCCCTTCAGATCCTAAATATTACTCCACACATCAGCAGTCTAAAGCCTTGAGCAAGAAAAGGCTGCTGGTTTGCAGGAGGGAGGGATCTCTAGATTCTGCTTAGCATCAGAAATCACATTAAATACTTCAGCAGAGGAAGCATGGAGTCAGTGGGGAGCTAATCTACAAGCCTGCAGAAGCTGAGTCAAAACTGGGCTGCCAGGGAGGCAAGTTGGGCTGAGGGTGGTGTTGTATCCTTGCCCTTTGAAAAGCCACCTATCTGTCCACACGCCTGTGAGAGGGCTGCCCCTGGCCCTGCTGAACATTCCCCTTCAATTCAGTTTGGAATCTCACAGTCCTTAATCGCTCCACTTTCCCTACCATGAGCACTCCTAGGAAACCCATCCAGTTGACACTTGTGAAGGAACTGCCTCCTGCCTAATCCTGGAACACAAGGCCAAAATTTTCCACTTGATTCTCCCCACTCAGCCCCTCCTGACCCATTCCAAAAGCCTGTTCAAACACCTCCTCGCTCTTCCCATGAAAATATTAGCTTTGAGACAAACACTGCCATTAACATGCAAATGTATCTGTGATTAACATAAATAGAAAAACTGCCTCATGAATAATATTAGGCTGGAACAGTATCAGCTACCAGTAGCCAGGTTGCTGAGACATGACTAGTCAGGTACTAACAAAACCATTTCATAGCAGAGATCACATTTCTAAATCTCTAAGATTCTCCTTTGCCTCCACCAAATTCATCCATTCTCAGCACCCATAAGGACCAGCTCTTGGACACTGCAGCCCAACTCATATCTTCCAGGCCTTTTCCACCCTTTCTTGCTCCCTGGAGGCAGAGGTGGCTGCTCAGCTCCATGTCAAGCTGCAAGGGAATATAAGAGGACACGCTGGGCTTCACCAGCAGTGCTGGCTTCTCACACAACTGCTTCCTCCCCTTTGGGGAGAGAAAGGAAAAAAAGCAGATGGAAGCTGCATGTGAGCTGTCAATTGGATCTCACTGCAGATCAGGAACATGGGGAGAGAAAACTGAGTCTGCTGTTAGAACTGCCCCAGAAAAGTGGCTTCTGTTCAGTGCAGGAACGAGCCTGCAGCCAAAGTGTCCCCTGCTCAGGGGCTGTGACAGTGCTCCAGGCCACTGCAGCTCCTGGGTCAGGCCTGGCACCTTCCAGGCCTGCAGATGCCAGCAGCAGCTCCTCACCAGGATGGCCTTCCTGCATGGAGCACAGGCACTGCAGCCAAACCTGGTAAATGAGCGTGATCAGGCACCAGGGTGGGCTGGATTGTGGATCTCATTCCCTCGCTGCACGCTAAACCCCCACACACTTCCTTGTGAAGGGATGACTTCTCTGGAGAGGCTGTTCCAAAACAGGCTGAGGATCTACATGCAAACTCATGCCACCAGGAAAGGAATCCCAGCCTCTCACTTTGTACAAAACAGGCCAGGGAGGGGCACAGGGAACTGAAGGGGTGTGGAAACAACCCCACCACAACCACCAGAGAACCTCACATCTCAACAGCCTCTTCTGGACAGAACAACCCCTGAACAACAACACCCACATCCACCAAAAAAAATGTTAGAACCAAAAGGATGTATTTATTTTGCTGCAGAAATCCTGCTTTTAACAGCAAGTTAATATCACACACATCTGGCTAATACTGCTGCTGCCCCCTCTAATTTCCATACCTAAGCAGATCCCTAGAATTTGTCTCCTGCTTGGAAGCTGACCTCAGACCACACAGTCTATATTTAAGATGTCAACTGGGATGAAATGTGCAATTGTCTCTTGCCTTGGGCCCATTCTCCTCCTTGCTGGGTTTGAAACTTGCAACTCACCATCCCCTGGCAGCAGGTTTGGATGCAGTTCCTTGCACACAGAGACACACAAGCACATGGCATCCTCGTTTTCCACTCACAACCAGACACAGTTCTTCAGCTAAATTCATGCCAGCCCAGCCCCCACGGGCTTCAATGAGAAAGTCTTTTCCTTTTGTGCTGGAGAGTTAGATTTGGCCTTTTGTTTGAAAATACACTTGTTTTTTTCTTGTCCTCTTCCCTCTCTGTTCAGTCTGGAATGGCTCACGTTGCCAAGACACTCGATTTTTCCTACGCTTCCTCCTAAATCCGAGGCATCACGACTGAGCGTTGTTGCACACTCCCTCCAGCATGCACCAACACACGGATCATTTTAGGGCACAGCTGAGCACCGGCAGCTCTCAGGGTACTCACTGTCGGCTCCCTGCAGGTTGTTCTACCTGCGCCAGGGAGCGACGCTGCCATCACCCCACGGGATCCTACAGCAAACAACTCCGTGAGTTCCCCTCCTGGCTGGAGCCGTGCTGGTCACAAGATCCCAAACACCTGCTGGGGTGGGGTAGAGCCGCTCCACTGAAGGGAGCTGCCGAACGCGACAGCTCTTCAGTATAAAAACACAACAATAAGCGAGGCTGAAGGAGCCTCCTCAAACTTTTCAGCACCCATTAAAGGTCCTTCAGCGAAGGAAGACCCCTCATCTCCCCGTGTGCCATCAGCCCCTCACCTACCCCAAATGCCACTGACAGCAGCACGTTAGCGGCCAATATTCTTTGTTGCACGGATTTTAAAACCGCAGCGCCGAACCCCCTGCCCGGGGTCGGTGTGAGCCCCGCTAGGGGATGGCCAGCAGCCCAGCGAGGGTCCCGCTGCGGCCCCCGCGCTCCGCAGCAGCCTCGGCCCGGCGCACGCTGCCCATCGCCGCCTTTGTCACCGCACCCCACGCGGGGCCACAGGCCCCGGGCTGCCGGAGGGGCGCGGGCCGCGGCCGAGGGGCTCGGCGGGGCTCCGCCGCGGGGATGGGGACCCCGCCCGTGGGCGCTGGGGATGCGGACGCGTTCCCGGGCAGCGGATCGGGGCCGGCAGCCCCCGCTGAGGGAGGCGGGGGTGCGGGAGAACAGCACATCGCGGTGGGTCACGCGTGGAGCGACCCGGGGCCCGCCGCCCCTTTGTGCGCGCCGCGCCGGGCTCACCCTTGTGCATGCCGGTGTAGCGGTCCTTGAGCACGGTGAGCTCGTAGATCTTGCCGAACTGCTCGAAGAGCGGCTTGAGGTCCTTCTCCTCCAGGTTGCGCGGGATCTGCCCCACGAAGAGCTTGATGGCATCCAGGTCCTTCATGCTGTCGGGCTGCGCCGGGGGCTCCGCGCCGCCGCTGCTGCTCATGGGGGAGGCTCGGCGCGGCGGCGGCGGGGGCGGCTGCGGCGCTGGCGGGAGCGGCGGCGGCTGCCTCCTCGCCTCGCCCTCGGTGAGTCTGGCCATGCCCCGCGCCCGGCGCGGCT